AGTGTGTGTGTGTGTGTGTGTGTGTGTGTGTGTGTGTGTGTGTGTGTGTGTGTGTGTGTGTGTGTGTAAGTGTGTGTGTTGCTAAAGGTACAGACTTATTATTCTAAAATGTTATAGATTTCATTACACCCGATTATAAGCGCTTTACATAATTTACATGTATGATCTACTCCCAGTGCCACATATTTCTCAACAAAAAAGTGGCGTCGGTGGCCTAGTGGTTAGGCTCTTGGACTCGCAGGTTAGGCTCTCGGACTCGCAACCGTAAGGTCGGCGGTGTTTTCGAATCCTGTCTGGGGCCCAACGTTGTGTCATTGGGAAAGGCATTTTACACGAATTTTCCTCACTTCACCCAGGTGGGAATGGGTACCCAGCTATAGACAGTGAAAGATCTTGTCAGTTTGTTAGTGTTTGAGCGCTTAATCAGCTGCTTGCACTGTATGCTTCCCGGCAAGCTGAGAATGTTTCGGAGTGTTCTATGATCTGCTGGGGGTAATAATAATATAGTGTAAAGCGCGTAGAGCCTGCTGTTGAGCGGGGTTATGCGCTATACAAATGCTATTTATTTATTATTATTTAAAAATGTCACTGGCGAAAATTTTTAATTTTAAAATATTTTCCTCAGGTTGTGGAAGAAACGATGAAAATTCTGGTGGAATTTGGATACACGTTTGAAAAGAGAGGGCTGATTAAAGTCAAAGGCAAAGGAGAACTAATGACCTACTTTTTGGAGAGGAAGCCAGACTCGAGTGAGGCCTTCATGCCTAATCAAGTACCACACAGCTGATGGGACTAGGAGGTCTGGTTGAACCAAAAGATAATGATCTATCACACCTCGATAAGACTGGAACTTCGTACAAAAACTGGGTTGAAGCAAGCGTTTCTTTCCAATTCTGTCTTTTTTACATGGTCCGCAAATGTCCATGAAATAACTTGTTATGGAGTAAGAATGATCTAGAACGAGTTGTAGTTGCTCTATGCTCTGCAGTCAACAGTAAGTTGGCTGTGCTTCTCTCAAGTGCATTTGGTCGCTTTTAAGCATTAGGTGGGCTATCCCCCCCCCCCCAAAAAAAAATACTGTTTTTTGAGAAAATCGAAGGTAAAATTTTTTCCTCATGTTCAGTTTCTTTATCAGACAAGGAGACTTTTCTCTATAACCCATCAAATATAAGCACCAATGAACCCAAACTTCTCCTGTAGGTAGGGAAATGCCCACTTTTGGTGTAGGTCAAGATTTCTGGAAACCCCCGAAATCTGTTTTAGCCCTCTTGTCCTTTAAAGCGACCAATTGTGACATGATAAACATTCTCAAGAAAGGTATTATCACAACAAAACAGTAGCTAGATCTATACCGTGTTGTTAGCTCCGGCCGACAGGCAAAGTTTGCCTTAAACTTTGAATAGCGTTCAACGTTATGAGAAAAAAGATAGACCTTGGTCGAATGTTTATTTTTATTTTGTTTGTTTGTTTGTTTTGTCTGTCTGTTTGTTTGTTTGTTTGTTTGTTTGTCACTCTAGCTCAAGAGTGAAATGCGGTACATTGTCGGGATATGGCTTGAAATGGGGTTTTTGCGAGTTTTAAAATTTGTAACTGTATAGCCAATTGAAACGTAGTTTTCAAAATAAGTGGAGCTCAAATTGTCGCTTTTACGGACAAGGGGGCTATCCCGAAAAATGCTGGGGGGTTTTTAATAGAAAATCGAAGGTAACGTTTTTTTTAGAACTTTTCTCTATAACCAAACAAATATACACACCAATGAAACCAAATTTCTCCTATACTATAGGTTGGGCGATGCCCACTTTCGGTGTAGGTCAAGGTTTCTGGAACTCCCCGAAATCTGGGTTAGCCCACTTGTCCTTAAAAGCGACCAAATGTTACCCACTGTGTTGGTGTTGAGGAGATACAGTCCATGCCGGCTTTAAGCACGGTCATCCGGAGAAAGCTTAAGCGTGCTTAAGCCGAAGCGTGCTTAAGTGCGAAGTAGACATAATCCAGAGATTTTGATGTAGAAAATTCCACGTGCTATTTCCCTTTGTTTGTAAGTAGGCCTATAGCGGTCCCGCAAAAGTGCGCACTGTTATTTAGACACCCCATGGTAGTTTTTGTTCGCTTGTTTGTTTTTGTTTTGTGGTCGAATGGGAAATGACAACTTAATTTAGACGGCCAGTCACGATACAGCACACTAGGCCTACTGTAACACACTGCCTGTGTGTACCACTGCCTTCATCCCACCTCGCACGTGATACACAATCAGGATTAATGGATAGCGAGGGTCAAAGGTGAAATCACAGCCAGCCTCCCTTTCTCGTCTCCTCTACTCTCTTTGTATTATTTTTGGTCGTGTGTAGCTTTGCCCTAGGCCTAGGCTAGATCCTATGTCCGCGCGCACGGCTGTGTGCATCTCTCTGCCTTCCTCTCCGCCCGTGTGAGTGTGTGTGTCCAGCACTTGCGTTCTTTGTGTTTCTCTTGACACACTCCACTGTTGCAGTGTAAATCTGTGTTCGAACTTCGATGGGTCATCATGAAAATATTGACTGTCTTGTAAATGAAGCGTGCTTGAAGACGAAGTTACCGTGCTTAAAGGCGTGTAATTTATATAGCAAAAATTCGGTAAGAGCCGTTTAGCGTGCTTGAATCCGAAACGTGCTTAAGGCCGGCGTGCTTAAAGCCGGCACGGACTGTACTGTTAATTATGAATACAATCTGCAATACAATCTTTTCTATTTTTAAAATCTCCTATGATGAGTATGGTCCAACCGTACCTACAATAGAATAGACAGCCGGAGTACGCTGCACTTATAAAGACAAGATACACGTGCACCCATGTGTGTGTGTGTGTGTGTGTGTGTGTGTGTGTGTGTGTGTGTGTGTGTGTGCGTGTGTGTGTGTGTGCGCGTGTGTGTGCGCGTGTGTATGTTTGTGTTTTTAATTGTGTGTGTGTGTGTGCATGTGTGCTTGTGTGTGTGTGTGTGTTTGTGTGCATGTATGTATGTACGTGTGTGCGTGTGCATGTGCATGTGCAAATGTGAATACTATGTTTCTGTATAGTATAATGTATCCAGGATAATTTATGACGAACTATTCAAGTAGGGTCCTAACCAAGTAGCCTAAAAACGAAGAAAAAACCCACACATTTAGTTTTGTTTAAAGTCAAGAACCGTATGCAGTTGCGTGCGCCGAAAAACCTCTACTAAAACAACAACAAAAAAAAAGGTCAAAGGACTTATAAGTTAAAGTTCAAGATCAAGATATCACACACTCATATTTCTGCATGTAGTGACAATCGAGCTCTCATTATACTTACTGTTCTACTTCTTGTACTCTACACAGTTCTAGTTCTCGTAACGCAGAACGTTCTGAAATAAGGTAGGCCTCAGATGTCATGGGTGGGTGGTTATCGGGTGTTCTGGTGTGGTTTGCTTCTTCTTTCCTATTAAATATCAGCTATCGTCCTTACCCCCCCCCCCCATTATTTTGTTATGTTTGTTATTCTCTTGTAACACCTCTAATCTTCTGGCGCTCATATGACCGTATGCAGTTGCAAGCGCCGTAAAACTTCTACTAAAACTAAATCAGATGTCATGGACACTCCGTTAGCTCAACTGGTATCATACTGCACTGCTAAGTGAGGGGTCGGCGGGTGCTCTGGTGTGGTTTGCTCCTTCTTTCCTACCACACATCTATTGTCCAGTCCATCCTCCTTCTTTGTTGTGTTTGTTACTCCCTTGTAACACCCCTAACCTATCTTCGGTACTTATATGACCTTATTGTGTAGCAAGTACTGGAAAACTCGTACTCAAACTAATCTGCTGGACCACTGTAACAGTGCAGATTGACATAGTTCAAAGTCTAGACTGGGTGATCCTGAACTCGGGTCATTATATATATTACGGAATTTTCAAGGCTGTCAACCTATTTGGCTCTGTTCTATCGAAGGCGGGAGTTAAATTTGGAGGCCCCATCTCTTAAATAACCTAATAGTGTCTTGTTTTGAGTGTTTAACGCGTAGGCCTGCACTTACTGCAGTCGTCAGATGGGTTATAAAATATCGGACTATTATAGTTGAATTGCATGATGGTCGTTTGTAAAAGTATGCCGAGCATTGAGGTCTTTTAAAGATGCCATCCGCGTTTCAAGGGTTTCCAGATGATGCGACTTCCCATTCAATACATTTGAATCTAACCAAATCTTCAAGACACACGACAAGCCATTTCGTTATACAGCCGAACTCGGATATAACAGGACGGACGGGACCGGCTGTTTTTCCTCTTATAAGGGAGTCCTGTTATAACCGAAAATACCAGTACCATTGCATTTTCAGCTTACTATATTATATTCGACTACCGGATCACAGATCCTTTTCCAGTGAGCTGTTTTGTTGACACTGAGACGGAATCGATCCATGACCTCAACGCTAAGGGTGGGGGGGGGTGTATGCGTTTGAAAACTTGTGTTAAGGTAAGCGATCATTCAAACAGGCGAAATGTTTGGTTGAGACAAATTTTAATAATTTGACGGATCGAAAGCAAGTTCATGCGCTGCAAGATCACTGTTATCCGATGCTGCGAAAATTTCACCCTGGTATAGCCATGTTCATATTACTTACACTTTTAGAGAGAAAAAAAACCGGGGATTTGATTTATCACTGTTATATCCTAGTTCTTGTAAAATAACTGAGGCTGTTATAAATAGACTGGACCGAGCTTTTATCTTGACACGGAGGCTTCCTGTCTCTACAAATCACAGCTCATGTTGACGACTTAGCGAAGCGGTACGAGACTGTGCTGACTATAACATTATCATTATGCTGCACGGTGAAAAAATGATAGCTGGTCATTGGTCAATATTTCAGCTATATTTAGCATCTCAGCAAGTGTTGTGGTGCAGTATTGCTGATAATCACTTGGAATATGCGTGCAATATCCCCTTCATAATACTATGCTAACCATGCCCATGACAAAAGTCTCCAAGATCAATCTTTTCCTTTGCTCTTTTAAGTTTCAGACATAGGTTACTGTGCCGTAATTTTTTAAAACTTCTGTATGCAAGTTTGTGCAACCTTACAGGAGATTTTTTTAAAGCAGTGCAGTTACCAAAGAAACAACATTTGCTTTAAAGATAGTAAAGAAGTTATTATCAAGAGTAATCTTTAAAATGTTGATTTGAGATGTTTGCAAAGAGTCTTTGTTTTCTTTTTTTTGCGGGTGGGGGGAGGGAGGGGTGTGGCTGTCCTGTAAAATTAATTGTAAAAACTGCATAGTGTACTTTTAAAACGTACACTTATACTCACTTTATACTGAGTACACACTGCCAACAAACCTCATTATTTTAATTCCATCGCGACCAGATAGATTTTCCTTCATGAGTGGATCAAAAGCTTCCATTTTTACATAATTTTATTGAAGTCGACTATAACTTTCAAATTCGAACGGATTTTTTTGTCAAGGTCGTGAGTCGAATCGGTAGTATTTTGTCAGAACGGTAGCTTCTGCTAGTGCTACTCCATGAAAGGAAATCTGACTAGCCCTGACTGAATCGAATGAGCTCGATAGGTGGCAGGGTGGTATCCTGTTATCAAAATAGTAATTATTATCAAAGATCGTACATAACAAGATAGTTTACTCGGCCTAAAAAAGTACTGCGGAAGTCGGCGCATTGGTTCAGATGGTGCTGCAGTCTTTGTTTTGAAAGCTCTCTTTCGTTTCTCCAGAAGAAGAATAGGAATACCACAGTTTGTTAGTTTCACTTTTATTGTTTTTCCCACAAGTAGGGTAGATTCTAACTCTGATCGAAAAGCCACACTTTTTCCAAGAGGGCACCACCGAATTTTGAGGACACTTTTTTACTTGGCTCAAAGAGAGGAGTGAACATCTTGTTATGTACCATCTTTGTTATTATCATACATTATGTATCGATTCTGTGATAGCGATGACAAAGGGGGCAAAAAAAAAAATCAAAACAGAAAACAAAACAAATGACGGACCATAAGTTCAAACACAGGAAACATAGGCTCTGGTAGCTGCATCATAAACTTTCACTTTCCAGTTGAGCAAGACTTTCGTCGCTGCCCTTTGTAATCAACACCATACAAGC